GCGGAGAGCCCCATGCTCTTGAGGGATGTCGTTCTCTCCCAGGTCAGGAGGGGAGGAAACACACAGACACAATGAATCGTCGACTCCCAGGAAAATATGCGCAAACATGGGAAGTGGGGGGGAAGACAAAGACCCAGAAAATATAGGAGCATATGGGGAATCTGTTTATTCGTGTGTATTTATTTGTGTGTTTGTGGGCCCCTTCACTAGGTCCAGCCGTAATAGCCTCCAGAGGGCTCTCGGGGCCCCCCAGCTCGTTGCCCTTTGACACCCGCCGCTCTGAGGTTTGCGAAGCGCGGCCCGAGAGTTCCCGACTCCTTCCAGGGGCCAGTTGCCCGCCCCGCATCAACTCTGGATGGTCTTACCGCGGAGGCGGAAACCGCGGGAAAAAACGCCCGCACTGCCAGCATCGGATCGTTGGAGAGTTGGGCTCCCAGTCCCGCGTTCCCCTCCACCCGGGCCTCCGAGCGGACCATCGCAGGCCGCGCGGGGCCGTCGCTCAGTCAGCCCGGCGTGCTGGCCGCTTCGTGGCGGCTCTCGCACGTTTCTGCCGGCAGCAGTGCAGGCGGTCATTTGGTTTTGAATCCCAGTTATTCACCGAGCGCGCTCCACTGCTCGCAAAGTGCCGACTCGCAAACGTCAGAAAGAAACAAGTGTTTGCTTCGATGAAATATCGTAGATCCCCCGCGGCGGATCCAGGGCATTTGCGAGTAGTTCTGTTGCGAGTAGTGTAACACGCTCGTCTAGTTATGCAGGACGGAGCGCAGGGGCAACGATAGCGCGGGGTCAGGCCGAGGGGGGGGTGCACCAACCCCAATCGCCCATTCGTCGCCGATAGGGACCTGATAAGTAGCCCCGCCCCACCCAGGAGCGTGAGGTGTCGCAATCGGGGGCCTATTGCCGATCTATTGGCGATGTATCGCCGATTCCAGCTGAATGTTACCCTCTCTTGAGCCAGTCCACGCCTACCGTTCCCCCTCAGGAGCAGTCTTTTTCAGGGTGTATATATGTGGCCTGTGCGCGAGGGTGCACGACGTCTGGCCAGATGGACAAGAGGGCCTTCGGGTGGTCAAGAGATCTGCTTTCGTGATAGGGGGGAGCGCTGCCTTCTCTCATGGGTTGCACGAGGAGCGATCCTGACCTGAGCGCCAGGGGCGACAGACCGGCAGAGACGGTGCGGAGAGATGTAGCATGCCCACCCCCCCTAGACGACGGGGACTGACAAAGCAGGACGCTGGCGCGCCCGAGAAACTTGCATCCCTGGGTCGAAGCCCTCTCCATTTGTCGCTCCCTCCAGGTGGCGTGTTGAGAGTCCAGGTTCGCAACGTCCTGGTCTGGAGTCGGCCCTGAATGTGCACGCCAGCGGCTCCGACGAGGTATCCCGAGTTGGTGCGGGTTCCGGCGGCGGTTGGGCCCCGAACCCAGTCCTGAGGCATCCGCGCGTGGTGGTGCATGCGGCCACTGCAAATCAGCACGGGGTATCCGCGGGGTGAGAGTCGAAGAGAAATGCACGTAAGCATCAACGTCTGCAGTTCCGCGCAGAGTGCTGGCCTCTGGCGAGCGGAGCGCGCCGGGGGCGGCGCCAGAGGTGCCGCCAGGGGGGGCCCAGCGCCGATCCAAGAAATCCGCGCGGAGCCCCCGAGAGAGAAGGAGAGAGAGAGAGAGAGTAACCTGAATCGAACAGGAGTGTGTCCGGCCGCCCGCCCGGCCGCCATGCGCTACTAGCGCCGCGCTGGGCTCCGCGTCTCTTTGGGACGGGGGCCAAGCCATGCATGACAAGAACCCGAGGCGCTCCTGGCTTGAGCGCGAGGCTCGGGACAAAGTGACAGACTGCCCGTCGGTCGTCGGAAGTAGATATTTCTGGATTCCCAACCCCACATCTACTTCCAGCGCCTTCCCATTTCAACAATCGGCATGCTTTTGCCGTGCTTTGTGTTTCTCTGGGAGGGCCTGACCGGCGTGTGCGCCATTCGGCCACAGAGCACCGCGATTATACAGCGAGCCGCGGGTGGCGAGAAGCTGAGACCACACCCCTAACCCTAATCCCACCATGAATTCGTGGCCAAACTTCGGTCCTCGGTTTTTAGTGTCCTCTCTAGAAATATGGTTCGTTTCGTCTGTGGCATCTGCCGGACAGACCTCCTATGCCTAATGTGCCTGGCCCTCCTAATCTAGGTTCTCTCCCACAGGATGAAGGGTACTTATCCTATCCCTACTGTTCCTGGCCCTCCTGATCTAGGTCCCCTCCGAAAGAATGAGGGGTACAGTCAACGCGCCTAGTAAGGACGCGCGCCTTCATCTAGGATACCCTTGCGTCCTTGCCTCTGTGGCCCGTCCTTTGCCGTCTTCACTGGCCGCCCCCCGCCCCAAAAAGCCAGCTTCGGCCTCCAAGGGTCCTGCGTCCTTGCCGCGCGTCCTTACTACACGTTTTGACTGTACTTCTGCTGCTGATCCGCACTGGGAAGCAGGGCAGACGACCCTCGCCACCGCCCGTCTGCTCCGGCGCCCCACCCGGGCCCTCCCTGCCGTGCACCTCGTGGTCAGGGTTCTTCTGGGTCTCTGCGGCTGTGGTCCCCCTGAACTAGGTCCCCTCCGAAAGAATGCTGTACTTTTGCTGCTGACCCGCATTGGGAAGCAGGGCAGAGGACCCTCGCCACCGCCCGTCTGCTCCGGCGCCCCCCCCGGGCCCTCCCTGCCTACACACCTCGTGGGTCCGGGCCCTTTGTGGGTGCCTGCGGCTGTGGGGGCCTGGGCCTCGCCCTGCCCCTTGGCATCGCTCGGACGTGTGTGTTTTTTTTTTTCGGCGAGAACCATCGAGGACCATCCTGGACCATCGAGCAAACAAAAACACGCACGAAACCGACAAACGCACGGGAAATGGGCGTCCGAGCGACGGCAAGGCCCTGACCCTCTTCACCCGGCCTCCGTCCGCCTGTCAGTCCAGCGAGTGGGCAAGAATCCTCCGCTGCAGGCAGCGGTCAGACGAGCAGCGAAGCGCTCCGTGCTCAGGGTCCACTTCCATCCGATTGGAGGTCGATTCTGGCCGGCTCATTTCGACCCGATTCCGATATGCCGACGGTCCGATGCGGTCCGATATCTGCATGGCGCTGTTGGGCACCCTCGCGGAGCCGATCTGATTGGATTTCGACTCCGTGCCGATGCGGCCCGATCCGACGCATATCCCGACCCGATCCGATTTCCCGATTCGAGGCCGACCGAGTTGATCCTGCCTTTGGCGGCAGTCGGTTGTTGCATGGTCCTTCGTGGGAGCCTCAGAGGGTCCCGAGTTTCCTTGCGGATTTGGGGATGTCCGGGTCTCGTCGGGCTTGTTCGACATTTGGACGACATCGGGACGCACTCTGGACGCGCGGGTGAATGGGGGCGGCCGAAATCTGGACAAATGTCAGGTCGAAATCACGCTCACGATACAGTCAACCCGCACAGTTGGGATAAGCAATCTTCCCAAGGATACCCTTGCATCCTTGCCTCCTCGGTCCATCCTTGGCCACTCTCGTCCGCCGCGCCCCGCTCGGAAGACTTCGAAATGTGCGTCAAGGCCCTTGCATCCTTACACGCCGGTCGTTGAAAGTAGGTATTTTCGGTTTCCCAGATCCCGATCTACTTCAAGCGCCTTCCTACTTCAAGAATCGGCACGCTTTTGCTGTGTTTTGTTACTCTCTGGGCGGGGGGGCTGGACCCAATCCACTTTATCCGCCTTCCTACTTCATGTTTCTACCTGCTTCTTCCGACCGACGTGTGCAGTGGAGGCCCATGCCAGGAAAAACCCTGCTTGCCTCCAGGGTGCCCGGGTTTTCGTGGGTGTCGAGGCTTCTGCCATGGAAAGCGCGGCGCTCACACACCAAACATCAACGGACCCCCCGGGATCTCGGGCATGGGGTTTCTTGTGGCGGGTCTCTCGTGGTCGGGCCCCCACTGCATGGCGCATCATTATGATGCGGGCCGACAGTACAGTCAGCCCGCATAGCAAGGAGGATCGACTTCCCAGGAATGCCCCTGCATGCTTGCCTCCTCGGTCGTCTTCGGCCCATCCTCACATGGCCGGCCCCGCTCGGAGAGCCTCGGCGTGGGCGTCCGGGGCCCTTGCATCCTCACAGTCGGCCCGGATCAGTAGGTCGACCCTGCCAGCTCAAGGGTACCCTTGTGTCCTGTGCCTCGCGACACGTGCCTTCTTACACTCCTATGGCGATGTGGCCCTCGGACGGGTCTTGCGCCCTCTCGCCTGCCCTGTCCAGTCAAGTCCGACTGTACCGCACACCATTATCGTACGGGCCGACGGCAGGGCTGCGGAGGTCCGCAGAGGCTCCTCGGAGCGCGGGCGCCTGCCTCCGCGGGCCCTGGCCGCCGCACGGGCGCGGAGTCCAGATCGAAGCGCATCGGCTGCGCCAGGAATCGAGCTCGAAATCGAGTCGAAATCGCAATCGCATCGAAAGCGATGTGCACGGAATCGAAGTCGAATGGAATCGAGAACAAAGGAACCCCCAGCCCGAAGAGCACAGTGAAAGGCGCGACCTCACTCGGGCCCCCGTCGTCGCCTCAGAGGTGGCAGGTCCGAGCGGTGTAGTTCGATATAGATGCTTCTGCGGGAGAGACAAACCTATCCCTGATTTTCGTTGGCCCTCCTAGCTTTGGTCCCCTCCCAAAGGATTAGGGGTCCTTCCCAGACATGCGACGTGTTTCAGGACGGCGTCCCTGGAAGTCTCGACCCTTTCCGCGTGACCGGTTCTTCATCCTGAGTCGTTTTTTGACGGTCCCAGGGCCCGGCGAGGGGTCCCCGAGGGTCGAAAATATATAAATTTGTCGTCCTGCTTCTCTTACGACGCGAGCATGTCTGGGTCTATTGCTGATCACAGGATGCCCCCACGGCGCATGCAGGCCTCGGGCCGCACCAGATCGTCGGCCGTGCCGCTGCCGCTCTGCGCAGGCGCGGCCGCTTTGACCGCGCGGCAGCCGCCGGCCGGGGCCCCCAGGGGGGGCGTTGCATGCCGCTGGCGCTGCTGTCCAGCGACCTGCAGCTGCGGGTGCTGCTGGGCCGAGTTCCCACCACCCTTACCATGGGGAGGAGGAGGAGGGAGGAGGAGGAGGAGGAGGAGGAGGAGGAGGAGGAGGAGGGAGGAGGAGGAGGAGGAGGAGGAGGAGGGGGAGGGGGAGGGGGAGAGGAGGAGGAGGAGGAGGGGGAGGAGGAGGAGGAGGAGGAGGAGGAGGAGGAGGAGAGGAAAAATAGGAGGAGAGGAGGAGGAGGAGGAGGAGGAGGAGAGGAGGAGGAGGAGGAGGAGGAGGAAGCTCCCCATCCTCCAGTCTCCCCTGTCCTACTCGTGGTGGTGGTGGTGGTGGTGGGGTGGTGGTGGTGGTGGTGGCGGTGGTGGTGTGGTGGTGGTGGTGGTGGTGGTGGTCGTGGTGGTGGTGGTGGTGGTGTTGGAAGATTGGCCCGTCAGGTGCTGCTGTGGCCGCCGAGCCGGGACGCGCTGCGGGTGGCGTGCGTGTGCGGCGCGCTGCGGGGCCTGCTGGCGGACGGCCGCGCGTGCCGCGCCTTCTGGCACGCCTCGGGGGGGGGGGGGGCAGAAGAGAGGGGTTGCCGCGCCGTTAGTGCTGGGGCGAGGAGGAGGAGGAGGAGGAGGAGGCGGAGGAGGAAGAGGAAGAGGAAGAGGAAGAGGAAGAGGAGGAGGAGGAGGAGGAGCAGGAGGAGGAGGACGAGGAGGAGATAGTAGGAGGAGGAGGAGGAAGAGGAGGAGGAGGAGCAGGATCGCGCGCTGCGCTTCGCTGTCCGGCTCCGGTTCCTCCTTCTCCTCCTCTTCTCCCCTGTGGGGGGACGCGGCGGCGCGAAGCTGGGCGCCCGTGGTATGGCTCGGGGGCAGCGCCTCGGCCACCAGGGCAGGCTCCGCCGCGGACGCAGAGGTCGCCGTGGGCTCGCCGTGGTGTGGGGTTCGCCTGCCTGGGCGCGCTCAGAACAAGCGGCGTGGCAACAAGTCATATTTTCCCATGTTCCGAGCCGTTTGTTCCGTGGGGTGGTTGTTGAAAACTCCACCGCCAAATCAAGCCATGCGAAACAGGTTTCTGTTCGTCCCTGGCGAGCCGCTAGTATGCCAGCCCCTTGCGAAAGCTGGACAGCGCACCGAGGGCACTTTGTGGTCTACCAGAGTCGCCGTCGCCAAGGTAAAGATTAGCAGTTCCAGTGTCTCGCATCTGGGGCCTTTTGGGGCGGCACCGTCGCCGAGAATCGGTTTGCGACGATACAGAACCTGACAGGAAGCGGAAACTCATCGGAGCAGCGCAGATCCCAGAAGTCTGCGTGGACCTCTGCACAGCAGTCTTTTCAGGAGGGAAAAAATACACAGACACAATTAATCGTCGACCCCCTAGGAAAATATAGGAAAATACGGGGAGTGGGGGGGGAAGAAAAAAAAAAAACAGAAAATATTGGAAAAAATGTGGAATATTTTTATATGTGTGTATCATCTGTGCGTCCCAATTCCCCTTCGTCTTTTTGCCCCCTCTGCACAGACGGTCACGTGTGCTCATGCAGTTTCCTGTGCTCCTCCAGGCACCGCCTGTCCTCGGGCGACGGCGGCACGCACTCCGGGAAGGCAGCCTGGCTGCACCCGGTGGCCGAGGCCCAAGGGCGGTGAGGACCCGCTATCTTCATGGAGGATTCACACAGGATGATGATGGTGATGATGATGATGATGATGATGATGATGATGATGATGAAGATGATGATGATGATGATGATGATGATGATGATGATGATGATGATGATGATGATGAGATGATGATGATGATGATGATGATGATGGTGATGGTGATGGGGATGGGGATGGGGATGGGGATGGGGATGGGGATGGGGATGGGGATGGTGATGATGATGATGATGATGATGATGATGCTGCTGCTGCTGATGATGCACACCGTGTTTGAGGACGTGATGATGATGCTGCTGATGATGATGATGCTCATCATCATCATCATCATCAGCAGCATCAGCATCAGCATCATCATCATCATCATCATGATCATCATTATGATGATCAGAATCATCATGATCATCATGATCATCAGCATCATCAGCATCATCATCTTCATCGTAGTCGTCGTCATCATCATCATCATCATCATCATCACCAACATCATCATCATCATCATCATCATCATCATCATCATCATCATCATCATCATCATCATCATCATTGCCGTCATCGTCACCATCATCGTCATCATCACCATCATCGTTATCGTTTCGTCACACCCCTCACACGTCCCCACAGGGAGCTCCACTCACGGTCCCAGTGGCGCAGTCCGCATGGCGCCGCCGCCCCATCTTGCCACACCCTTCACAGGTTTCGTGACCCCATGGGGAGCTCCGCCCAAGGTCCCAGTGGCGCAGTCCGCATGGCGCCGCCGCCCCATCTTGGCACACCCCCTGACACGTTTCGTGGACCCATAGGGAGCTCCGCCTAAGTTCCCAATGGCGCGGTCCGCATGGCGGCGCCGCCGCATTTTGGCACACCCCTCACACGCTTCGTGGCCCAATAGAGAACTCAACCGAATGCCCCAGTGGCGCAGTCCGCATGGCGCCGCCGCCCCACTTTGGCACACCCCTCACATGTTTCGTGGCCCCATGGGGAGCTCCACCGAGGGTCCCAGCGGTGCAGTCCGCATGGCGCCGCCGCCTCACTTTGGCACCACCCTCAGTGGCACCGTTCACCATGCGTTCCACAGACCCATTTCGGCACCACCCTCACACGTGTCGTGACCCCATAGGGAGCTCCACCGAAGGCACCAGTGCACCGTCCACATGCGTCCCCCACACCCGTTTCGGCACACCCGTCACAAGTTTCGTGGCCCCATAGGGAGCTCCACCGAAGGCCCCATTGCCACCGTCCACATGCATCCCCAACGCCCATTTCGGCACCCACCTCACACGTTTCGTCGCCCCATGGGGAGCTCCACCGAAGGCCCCAGTGGCGCAGTCCGCATGGCGCCGCCGCCCCACTTTTGCACACCCCTCACATGTTTCGTGGCCCCATAGGGAGCTCCACCGAAGGCCCCACTGGCACAGTCCGCATGTGTCCCCCACACCCATTTCGGCACACCCCTCACACGTTCCGTGGCCCCATAGGGAGCTCCTCCTAAGGTCCCATTTGCACAGTCCGCATGGCGGCGTCCACACCCGTTTCGGCACACCCCTCACACGTTTCGTGGACCCATGGGTAGTTACTGAAGGCCCCAGTGCCACCGTTCACACGTGGCCCCCACACCCATTTAGGCACACCCCTCACACGTTTCGTGGACCCATGGGGAGCTCCTTCGAAGGCCCCAGTGCCAACGGTCACATGCGTCCCCCACACCCATTTCGGCACACCCCGGACACGTTTCGTGACTCCATGGGAAGCTCCACCGAAGACTCCAGTGCTACCGCCCGCATGCGTCCCCGCACCCATGTCGACACACCCCGCACAAGTTTCGTGACCCCATAGGGAGCGCCCTTGAAGGCTCCAGTGCCACCGCCCGCATGCGTCCCCCACACCCATTTCGGCACCCCCCTCACACGTTTCGTGGCCCCGTAGAGAGCTCCACCTCAGGTCCCAGTTGCGCAGTCCGCATGCGTCCGCCGCACCCATTTCGGCACACCCCTCACGGGGCTCGTGGCCCATAGTGAGCGCCACCGAAGAAGATGTTCAAAATTGAGGTACTCACAACTGCATGCGGTTGGGCCCGTCGCAAGGCTAATGTCTCACAGTTTCCCGCTGGAAGGGCTTCGGTTTTGTGATGATTTTGGGAGATTTGGGATTATGTATTATATATCGTTCCTTATGCGTTACTCCCTGGAAAAAGGTGCTTCGTTCCTTATTTTTCGTTCCTAAGGTCAAGCAGCTCACAGTATCAGGCATACAATTTCAGCGCCTTTGGGGCCCCCCTTGGTGGGAGCTGTATGATGCTGGCGGGCGGACCCAGACTGCTGGCACGCTGAGGGCCCCGCCCCATCAGCTGGGAAGCGGGCAGCTCTCGCCATCCAAGCTGAGCCTCGTTGCCTTGTCTCCCCCATCTGCCTCCCCCTGACACCAGTGTTTCGAGCCCCCCCCCAGACATCCGGCGACGTGATTCCTTCAGTGCGCGGCCCCAGGGGCCCCGAGCCCTCCCTCTCGTGGGGTGTTCGCCCCCGGGCCCACTTCTGCGGGGCCTCCGGGGCCCGAAGACGGGCCCCAGAGGCCGGCCTCAAGGGAGTCGTCGTGGGAGGTCTGGGCCCGACGAGGCGAGCCTCCTGCGGAGGTACCTGGAGCGGGCGGCCGCCTTCGACGTGTTCGGGAGGCTGCGGTTCTGGTCCCAGTGCCAGGCGAGCGGCGGCAGAGGGCGGGGTCGACGGCGCCGGCACCTGCGCGCAAGCCTTCCCGCGCGAGGCTGCGCGTGCGCGCCCTCGTCCCCACGCGGTGTGCCACTCACTCTGGCGGCCCGCGTAAGCCGCGGCGTCGGGTCTGGTAAGTGGTTGGGTTGCGCACAGGCACCTCCCCCAGGTAGTCTGGGGCGGTCTCAAAACCCAGAGGGCCCCTCCTCCACCCTCTCCCTCCTCCCCCTCCTCCTCCCTCCCCCTCCTCCTCCTCCTCCTCCTCCTCCTCCTCCTCCTCCTCCTCCTCCTCCTCCTCCTCCTCCCTCCTACTTCCTCCTCCTCCCCTCTTTTCCCCTCCTTTTTTCTCTCCTCCTCCCCTCCTCCACCTCCTCCTCCTCCTCCTCCTCCTCCTCCTCCTCCTCCTCCTCCTCATTCCTCCCCCAGGCAGTCCCCCGACCCAGGGCGCGGAGCGCCCCAGGGGGTGCTGCCGGAGGCGGCGCCATGGTGTTGAGACCGCCCCGGGCTAGTCGGGGGCCTGATGAGGCCGGCCAGGACTACACACTGTTCATGTCTAAGTCTTCGAAAGTTCTTTGATTTTTTGGGGAGGGCCAGGATCCTTTCGTGTCTAATTCTTCTATCATGGGCCTCTTCCTGGCCACTACACCTTAGGCGATGCTTAAGAAAACTTACGTTTTCGGTCAGAATCTCGATGATTCTTGATGTTTCAATGTAAATCTTAAGATGTTGATAGACATGTTGGGTTTCTATTCAAGTTCTGAGACTATGAATTTCTTAACCCATGATTTCTTAAGCATTTCGCAGGGTGTAGGGGGCCAGGAACAATTAGAATCGAGCACAATTAGAAATGAGCACGATTAGAAATAAACGACGTGTAACTGGGGGTGGGCTGTTTGTGCGCAACCCGACGCCTCACCATGGCCTTTTCGTCTCGCGCAGGTCGGCGGCGAAATCCGAACCCTACCCTCGCCGATCAGCGACTCGGGCAACTCCATGGGCGGCGGGGGGTTGGGTACCTTGGCATCCTTTGGACGTGTGCATTTCCCCCGGCGGGGACAATCAGTGAGCATCCTTGACCATCGAGCAAAGAAGGGACACACGAAACCGACACATGCACGGGAAATTGACGTCCAAGCGACGGCAGGGTGCGGAGTTCGTCGAACGCACGGCGGAATCCGAACCCCACTCCCGCCTCCCATCGATTCGGGGGAACCGATGGTCTCTGGGGATGTCCAGCCCAGGCAGGAGGAAGAGGACGAGGAGGACGAGGAGGACGAGGAGGACGAGGAGGACGAGGAGGAGGAGGAGGAGGAGGAGGAGGAGGAGGAGGAGGAGGAGGAGGAGGGGAGGAGGAGGGGAGGGGAGGGGAGGGGGGTGGGGGAGGGGGAGGGGAGGGGGAGGGGAGGGGGAGGGGGAACGGGAGGGGGAGGGGGAGCGGGAGGTGGACGGGGGAGGGAGAGGTGGAGGGGGAGGAGGGGGAGGAGGAGGAGGAGAGGAGGAGGAGGGAGGAGGAGGAGGAGGAGGAGGAGGAGGAGGAGGAGGAGGAGGAGGAGGAGGGGGAGAGGAGGAGGAGGAGGAGGAGGGGAGGGGGAGGGGGAGGGGGAGGGGAGGAGGAGGAGGAGGAGGAGAGGAGGAGGAGGAGGAGGAGGAGGAGGAGGAGGAGGAGGAGGAGGAGGAGGAGGAGGAGGAGGAGGAGGAGGAGGAGGAGGAGGAGGAGGAGGAGGAGGGAGGAGGAGGAGGAGGAGGAGGAGGAGGAGGAGAGGAGGAGGAGGAGGAGGAGGAGGAGGAGGAGGAGAAGGAGAAGGAGGAGGAGGAGGAGGAGGAGGAGGAGGAGAAGGAGGAGGAGGAGAAGAGCCCAGGGGGGCCCGCTCGGAGATGTCGGCGCCCAGGTCTCGGCCCTGCTGGCCGCGCTGGACCACTTCCCCCGGCGCGCCTCCGTCGGGGCCGGGCGCTGCAGGGGCAAGACGCTCTTCGTCGGGCAGTGCCGCTTCGATCCGGAGGGCCCCGGCTGCCCCCGCCCCGTTTCTGGACGCCCGAAATGGGTACTGAAATGGGTACCATGGCCGACAGCAGTTCCTGTTCACTTTGAACAGGAGTCGCTGTCCACGCCGCCGCGGCCTGTGTCCATCCGAGACAGAAGGCCGCCTGCCCAACAGCGGCCGCTGTTGGTTTGGGACAACATTTGTTGTTGGGCATAGTGCCAATTTTTTCGGTACCCATGTCGGGCCCCCGCCCCGTTCGCTCGGGGGCCCCCAATCTCAGGAGGGAAACAACCACACAAAAGGCACAATGAATCGTCGATCCCCCAGAAAAGATGGGAACATATGGGAAGTGGGGGGGGGAAGACAGGATCCCAGAAGATATGGGAAAGCATGGGGAATCCTGTTATTTGTGTGTGTACTTATTTGTGTGTCCCAGGGCCCCTTCACCCAAACGGTGGGGTGACCGCACCGTGCGGTGAGTCGGTGGGGATTCGGGGTCACCGCACGGTTTTGGGACTCGAGTCCCTCGGCGAGGACGTTTCGGGCGATGGGGGCCTCCAGGGTCCTGAAACCGTGCGGTGACGGACCGTACGGTGAGGTCTCTGGGGGTTCCGAGGCCACCGCACGGTCTGCCACCACACGGTTTTGGGACCCCCGTTCTCTCGGCGAGGATAATTCTGCATTCCAGCAGTAGGACCCCGCATGAATGAGCATCTGTCTAATTACCGCTTGCTTGGGGATCTCCTCCTGCCCCCTCCTCCTGCCTCATCCTGCCTCCTCCTCCTCATCCTCCTCCTCTCTTCCTCCTCCTCCTCCTCCGCCTCCTCCTCCTCCTCCGCCTCCTCTTCGACAATGCCAGCATATTTCAAAAACCTAATGCGGACAAGCGGACAACAAATATGGTACTCCAGATTTCGTAATAAAAGGGAGGGGGTCTGGAACCTCCAAGACAAGCCATTTCAGACCCCCCCCCTGGGAGAACCCTCCAAAACATCGTCCCCAGACCCCCCCAGGCCCTCCAAGATAGCCTGGAAGAGACCCCCCCCAAATGAGACCCCCCTCCCTTTATTACGAAATCTGGAGTACTTTGCTTGTTTTGGCGTTCTCTTGGAGGCCTCTTCGAGCGTCTTGGCAGCCGCTAGGGCTGTGAAGAGACCATCATTGGCGTCGCGGACCGATCGTTCTCGCGATTCGGGGCCCTCTTGGACCGTCTCGTGCTATCTTGGGGTTGTTTTAGGTGCACGCACCCGGGACCCCCCCCCCGGGGACATCTGACCCGGGACACCCCCCGGGAACCCCCCTTCGGACCCCCCCCCCGCCTGGAAGGGATGTAGGGAAGGGCTTCCCTCTGTCTCAAAAACGACGTTGCTTCTTTTCGTTGTGGCCTGCGAGCTCGAGGGGGGGGGGTCATGGAAAGGAGGGGGAAAGCTGCGACGGGCGCAGAATATCTCTAGTTATCAGAGAGAGAGAGAGAGAGAGAAGTTTTGGGTGGGGAGGATGGGGCTGGGAGAGACGATCAGATCATCCGTAGTATCGCGTATGTCGAGTGTGTTTCTTACATCATCGTGCCCCGTATCCTCCCAGCCCCATCCTGCCAAACCGAGACTTGGTCTTTCTAGAGTTTTTGAGCCCACATTATTGCGAAGGCCTTACGGCCGGTGCCGCCGACCCTGCAGGGGAACGACGACAACAGCGGCGGCGGCGGCGACGGCGACGACGACGACGACGATGCTGACGTGTGTCAGAGTCCTCATGGATGCTTCTTGGGGTCTCTTCGAAGCGCTCTCGAGGGCCTCTGGGGGACGGTTCAGGGGCCGCTGCGGAGCCTCTCGGGGGCCTCTTTGGCCTGGAGTGTTTGAACTCGCATTATTTGTATTCCGTTCCGCCGAAGATAGGGGAACAAAAAGTGCCATAAACATAAAAACTCGGAGGTCCGCGCGGATTTCTCGGATCGGCGCTGGGGCCCCCCGGCGGCGCCTCCGGTGCCGCCCCTGGCGCGCTCCGCGCGCCAGGGAGGGGGGTCCAGTGCCCATCCGAGAAATCCGCGCGTACCTCCGAGTTTTCCCTACCTAGGCTCTGCCTAGAGGGTTCTTACTCTCTTTCTTAAAGGGGCCAGGCAGTGCAACTCGCCCCGGGCGGTTCCCCCAGTCCCCGCCCCGCGGTTCCCCCAGTTGCGCCCCTTGGGTTCACCCAGCTTAGCTTAGCCAAGCTTAGCTTAGCTTAGCTTAGCTTAGTTGTCATATTATTCGTACTCGTCTCATTATTCGTAGTAGTATGATGTTCATATTATTATTACTGATCGTTTTCTTACTATTAGTTCCCTACCTAGGCTCTGCCTAGAGGGTTCTTACTCTCTTTCTCAAGGGGGCCGGGCAGGGCACACCGCCCCGGGCGGTTCCCCCAGTATCCGCCCCGCGGTTCCCCCAGTTACGTCCCCTTAGCTGAGCGTTGCTTATCTCATATTTGCTTATCTTATTTCATCTTAGCTTAGCTTAGCTTCATCTTAGCTCAGGTTTATCTTAGCCTAGTTTACCTTCATCTTAGCTTCGCTGAGCTTTAGCACAGCAGAGCACAGCAGAGCATAGCATAGCGTAGTATAGTATAGCGCAGCACAGCATATTATAGCATAGCAAAGCATAGCATAGCGCAGCATAGCATAGCATAGCATAGCATAGCATAGCGCAGCACAGTAATTACAGCACAGCATGGCACCGCGCAGCATAGCATAGCATAGGATAGCAGAGCATAGCATAGCATAGCAGCAAGCAAAGGCAAACCAACACCCTACCTAGGCTCTGCCTAGAGGATTAGCTTAGCTTAGCATAGCGCAGCGCAGCCTTAGCATTAGCACAGCATAGCGTAACATAGCCAAGCATATCATAGCATAGCGCAGCATAGCATAGCATAGCATAGCGTAGCATAGCATATCATAGCATGTCTTAGCATCGCACAGCGCAGCATGACATATCATAGCTTAGCATAGCATAGCATAGCATCGCATAGCATAGCGCAGCATAGCATAGCATAGCATAGCGCAGCATAGCATGGCATACCATAGCATAGCATAGCATCGCATAGCAACTAATGCTGCTTTCCTAGGGGCTCCAACTTCTAGGTAGGGTCGCATTGGGGTAATATTATTCTTCTTAGTATTATTCGTATTCATCTTATTTCCTACCTAGGCTCTGGCTAGAAGGGTTCTTACTCTGTAGCTTAAAGGGGCCGGGCAGTGCAGCCCGCCCCGGGCGGTTCCCCCAGTCCCCTGGGAGCGGTTCCCCCAGTCCCCTGGGAGCTTTAGCTTTAGCTTGAGCTTTAGCTTTAGCTTAGCTTTAGCTTTAGCTTAGCTTTAGATTAGATGTAGCTTAGCTTTACCTTAGCTTTAGCTTAGCTGTATCTTAGGTTTAGCTTAGCGTTAGCTTAGCTGTTGCTCAGCGTTAGCATAGCTTTAGCTTAGCTTTAGCTTAGCTTTAGCTTAGCATCAGCTCAGCTTTAGCTTAGCGTTAGCTTAGCTTTAGCTTAGCTTTAGCTTAGCTTTAGTTTAGCTTTAGCATAGCTTTAGCTGAGCTTTAGCTGAGCTTTACCTGAGCTTTAGCTTAGCTTCAGCTTAGCTTTAGCTGAGCTTTAGCTTAGCTTTAGCTTAGCTTTAGCTTAGCTTCAGCTTAGCTTCAGCTTTAGCTTTAGCGTTAGCTTAGCTTTAGCGTGGCCTTTGCTTAGCTTTAGCTTAGCTTTAGCTTAGCTTTAGCTTTAGCTTAGCTTTACTGTTACTACTAATGCTGCTTTCCTAGGGGCTCCAACTCCCAGGTAGGGTCGCACTGGGATGTTGATTTTCACGTCACGTTTTGTTCCCCTAGAAGAGCGGCGGAGGTCTGGGAGGCCGGCGCCCTCCAGCGGTCACCAGGAGCTCGAGGGCCTCGTCGCGGGCAGCCGCTCGGCGCCGGTGCAGAGCTCCCGGGTCGGCTTCGTGTGGCAGGCCGGGGGGCTCGGCTTCGACGCCTTCCTCGAGGCGGCGGCGCACCCGGCGCTCGCGGGGGGGCTGTCGCTCGTGTGGAGGACCCGGGCGCAGTCAAGCAGTGGCGAAGCGTCTCTTTGGACGCCCGAAATGGGTACGGAAAGAATGGGCACAATGCCCAACAGCAGTTCTTGTTCATTGTGAACGGGACTCGCTGTCCGCGCCGCCGCGGCCTGTGTCCGTTTGAGACAGGAGGCTGCCTGCCCAACAGCGGCCGCTGTTGGTTTGGGACAACATTTGTTGTTGGGCATTGTGCCCATTCTTTCCGTGCCCATTTCGGGCGTCCAACGTGTTGGCTCGCCTATAGCCATACCGAACAATGTTCTAAGAACCTCGTGTGGTTTCCACGACATGTTCTTAGAACATGTCTGGGTTCTAAGAACATGTCGAGGAGATAATGGATTTTGTTCTAAGAGAATGGATTTTGTTCTTAGAACATTTTTGGGTTCTAAGAAGATTTCGTGGTAGGACCTATTAGGAATGCCGGGACGGTCGGTCCCTGCTCAAAAAAAGCCACAGCCACAGCGAAGCGGATCCTTGCATCGGAGAAGAAAAAAACGCTTCAAACACAAAACTTTTGGCGCTCCGCGCGGATTTCTTGGCTCCGCGCTGGGGCCCCCTGGCGGCGCCTCTGGCGCCGCCCCTGGCGCGCTCCGCGCGCCATGGAGGGGGGGTCCAGCGCAGATCCAAGGAATTCGCGCGGAGCGCCAACAGTTCATGTTTATGCCGTCGCTTCTTCTTCTAATCTAAGTGGATTTTTCCAAACAGGACCCCTCGGCGGAAAACCCGCTGGCCTCGGGATGAGCCGTTTAGTTGTGGCTATGGTCGATGCAGCCGTCCTGGGGCTCCAACATCGACCGCAACCAGTAGCAAGCTGGCTAGGTGTTCTGGCGATTTGTTGGCATGCGCAGGACATCCCCAGGCTGTGCCCTCGATGTGGTTGTGGTCGCTTGCTGTCCCCGCACAGGACGAGCTTCACGTCGAGCCTTCTCATCTCGAAGAAGACAGAAGGGCACAAACATAGTTGCTCGGAGGCCCGTGCCGATTTCTTGGGTCTGCGCCGGGCCCCCCTCGGGGCGCCTCCTGCGCCTCCCTTGGCGCGCTCCGCGCGCCAGGGAATGGGGCCCAGCGCCGATCCAAGAAATCCGCGCGGACCTCCTAGAAGTTATGCCTCTGCTGTTCTGTCGTTGTTCAATCGTAGAGACCCGGGACTGCATCGAGCTGGACATCGCCCCAGACTTCTGACGACCTGCAGGCCGACATTGCTGCTCGTCCTGGAGAGCCCTCGTCGCCACGGCGGGATCATCCAAGAAGCTGTGGAGCAGTGGCCTCGGCACCTCTCACCAGATCCCCGAGGATCTGTGTCTTTTGCAGCCCGGGCGCCTCCCCTCGATTTCAGTTCCTGGGTCCCGCCCGCGGGCCCCAGGGCCATGAGAAGTGATAACCCGTCGGAGAGTGCCCCGACCTCTGGAGAGCCGCGCAGCGGAAAGCTCCTGTCGTTGGAGGTCTGGGCTCGGGGAGCAGCGAAGCGGCGAGGGAGCATGAGCTCTCAGAGGTCCGCGCGGAGTTCTCTTGGGCCGCCGCTGCACGCCCCCCCCCTCCCCTGACCTTTCAGGAGGGTTAAAAATAGCACGCGACTTAAAAACCCATCCCAGAGCTATTCTACGTCTTGGTTTTAGGCTGTTTCGTTTCGTTTTTTTTGGTTTTAGGCCTACCGTACTAAAAATAGGTCTCTGGAAGGTCAGGGTCCGCCGCCCCTGGCGCACCCTCCGGCGCCGCCCCCCGGCGCCGCTCCCCCGCAGCGGCGCTGCTGGGCTGCCGGCATGGCTTCGGCGTCGGTCGGGCGGCCGGCAGCGGCGAGGCAGTGAGCGCGGCGGGGTCGAGAGAGTGCGGCGAGGCTGCGCCCCACGGCGGCCCCCGGAGTGCGCGGGCCCGAGGGGCGCACGCGCCTCTCCACCCCCACGCTGATAGACCCCCCGTCCACGAATGCCTTGGCATCGCTCGGACGTGTGCTTTTTCCCTTCGGCGAGGGCCATCGAGGAGCATCCTTGATCATTTGGCGAAGCAACCTCGCACGACATCGAGAAAAAAGACACCGGGGATGGACGTCCGAGCGATGGCAGGACGCCCGCGGGGCGGCCCGGGGAGGTCCGCGCGGGCACCCGAGGTGTGCACGCTCGCGCCGCGTCCTGCTCCCTCGGCATCTCCGGCGCGGTGGCCCCCATGAGCCGGGACGGCAGCGCCGTGCCGCCGATCCGCACGGCCTCGGGGGAGCCGTACGCGGCGGCGGCTCTGGCATCTCGGGCTGGGCGACGGGGGGGACGGGGGGCGGAAGGGCGGGGGGGGGCCCCTGAGCTTCGGGCGCTGCAGTCGGCGCACAGCTGGCGCTCTCGCCGCGGGACCGTCACAGGCAGCGCAGCTCTGCCTCGAAGCATGCAGCAGGCAGAGGAGGTCGACGGCTCTGGTCGTGGTGCCTCGCGTTGCTGCACTTTTTCGCGACGTCGGACCTCAGGGTGCGAGATCTGCTGCGGGCAGCTGGTTTCGGCACCGCCGCACGGCGCTGGCCTCGACACAGCTGGCGCTGGGGAAGGCGCTGAGGAAACCAGCTGCGCGGGTTGCTTCGCGAACCTGGTCCTTTTGTTCTCCCCAGACATCCGACGGCATGATGTTTTTTGCAGTGCGTGGCCTGAGAGGTCCCGACCTGACCCCCTTGGGCAGGCATCTGCCCCGGTTCCAGCGGACCATTTCTGATGGCTGCTGGCCCCGCGGGTGGAAGTTGCGCACCAGAGGCCGTGATGAAGGATCAAACGTCGCAGCTTGAAGAACATCTGCTGCCAGCGATGTGGGCCGTCCCCCCTATCGCCCGACCTGGGCGTCGCTGCTGACCAGCGACCTCGCCTGCATCGCGCGCGTGGACTTCCGCTTCATGCCGGGGAACACGCCACGGCACAGAGCGCGAACCTTCGGAGCCCCGCGCAGCTCTCCTGCGCCGGCGCCGTGGGTCCCCCCCGTGGCGGCGCCTCCCTTGTGCCCCTGGCATCGCTCGGACGTGTGCACTTGTTCCTTCGGCGAGGGGCCCTCGAGGAGCATCCTTGATCATGTGGAGAAAAAACCACGCACGCGCTTTTTCCTTCGGCGAGGGGCCGTCGAGGAGCATCCTTGATCCTTTGGCGGAAAAAGCCACGCCCGAAAAACCGAAAAGAAAACACACAGGGAGTGGACGTCCGAGCGATGGCCAGTTGTGCCGCCCCCGGCGCGCGAGCTCCGCGCGCCGAGGCGGTCATTGTGGGGCCCCCGGCGCCAACGCCCGGGAAGGCGCGCGCGGCGCTCCGAGGGCTGCGCGCGCTCCCCGCCGGGGTCCGTGCTCCTCGCCCGTGGGCGACGCGCAGACCGTCCTGCTGGAGGATCGGGCCGGACGAACGGGGGGGATAGGAAATTGGGGCTCAAGATAAAACAGGGCCAGGATCGGGATAAACCGCTCCAGAGCGTTCCGGAGCGCTCTCAGAGCGTTCCGGAACGCTCTGGAGCGGCCGCGGCGCCCAATACATCCTCCAAACCCGCCGATTCTCAGAGATTTCGAGTTATCCCGATCCGATTTTGTCCCGATCTTCGCGTCGTTTTAGATAGGGAAGCGGGGCTCGAGAGACGGGGGCCAATGCAGACGGGGGTCAGCCAGGGCTCCGGATCCTGCAGGGTCCTGCGAAGGCCCCCTCTGGCTGACCCGGGTCAGCGAGCCGCTCATGGCCGCGAGGTGGCCGCGCGTATTGGCTGACCCGGGTTTGCGAAGACCTGCGGTGCAGTTTGTTTGTCCTGCATTGCAGTTTTTGGTTTCCTGCTGACCCCGGGTCTGGATTGACCCGGGTCAGAAGATCCCTCAGGGAAAGAGGGGGCTCCGAAATTTGCTGCCTGCAGAAGGTTTTTCGGCCCCACGGAGGGGCCCATGCCTCGATGCACAGCCGCCTCGATGCAGAGCCGCCTCCCACTACGCGAGCTGGTTCTCGAACCCCCCCCTTTGCTATCCCCCCCCCCGTCGCCCGACCCGAGAGGAGGCGTGGCGCCACCAGCGGGCCTCGGGCGGGGGCGGCGGCGCCGGCGCCTCCCCCGGCGGCGAAGCCGCGGAGGAGGCGTGGCGCCGGGGGGGCGTCGGCGCCGAGGCCACGGCGCCTCTCGGCGCCGAGGCCGCGGAGGGCCTCGGAGGAGCTGGGGGGGGGGGCGCAGCGTACGCCGGCCGGTGCACCAAAGGGTCTTGGCGCTGTGGAGACGTTGCACCGTTCTGCACGCACGAGATGGGTACAGAAAGAAGGGGTACAATGCCCAAGAGCAGTTCCTGCTCATTTCGAACAGGGTTCGCTGTCCGCGCCGCCGCGGCCTGTGTCCGCTCGATGCAGAAGGCCGCCTGCCCAACGGCGGTCGCTGTCGGTTTGGGACAGCATGTGTTGTTGGGCATGTTACCCATTTTTTCCGTACCCATTTCGGGCGTCCAAAACCTTGGGCGCTCGGGGGTGGACAGACCTCCTACCCTGACGCGTCGATTCAGGGATTGGCCGTCTTTGGCTCGCGAGAGGGCCTCGCGGCCGTCATCTCTGTGGGTCCAGGTCCGTCGGTTTCGGTCCTGGGCCGTTTTTACTACAGGGAGGTTTGCTGAAGGGAGGTTTGTCCACCGCCGAGGCACTCTCTCCAAGTTTCGGGCCCCGGTGCCCGCACAGATCGATCTGGCGCCAGATTTGACGCAGAAGGGAGGATGGTGATTGATTGCCATGTTGCAATTTTCTAGGCCTCCCAGATGGGGTCGAAAGATCCCGCCGCATCGCCGATGCATCGCCGATGAGGCTCGATGTGGAGCCCGATTTCCTTCACGTCGACGTTGCCGATGCATCGCCCACGTCGACGATGCATCGCCGTTGCATCGCCGATGCATCGCCGATGCATTGCCGATGTATCGGCGATGCGGCTCGAACCCCCGACTTCGAGAATTAAGCCCCACTGGGGAGCTGCTACGCCGGAGTAGGCCGCGGACTAAGCGGGAGTGAGCTGGATTACGCGGGATTATATCTGGACGCCCGAAATGGGTACGGAGAGAATGGGTACAATGCCCAACAGCAGTTCCTGTTCATTCTGGACAGGATTCGCTGTCCACGCCGCCGCGACCTGTGTCCATTCGAGGCAGAAGGCCGCCTGCCCAACAGCCGCCGCTGTTGGTTTGGGACAACAGTTGTTGTTGGGCATTGTACCCAGTCTTTCCGTACCCAGTTCGGGCGCCCAAAATTAGAAGCGGGATCTGCCGGGAACTGGCCGGAGTCAGAGCCGGACTTCGGCCCAGGGCAAAGCCATAGAATTTGACCTCCCAGGAGTTTTGCGCCCGAATCCCTATGCGGGAGCGGCCTTCCACCGCGCCCGGCTCTTCGACGGCCCCCGCGGCCCCCTCGCGGGAGCAGGGCGGGCGGCAAAGAGGGGGGCGATGACTAGGGGGGGGGGGATATCATTCAGGAGGGGAAAAACACACACAGACACAATTAATCGTCGACTCCCAGGAAAATATGGGAAAATATGGGAAGTGGGGGGTAAGACGGAAACCCAGAAAATATAAGAAAATATGGGGAATATGTTTTTGTGTCTATTTATTTGTGCGTCCTGGGGCCCCTTCAATCATGGCGGGGGCCATGATATCTCCCCAGATTTCATGGCGCCTCTGCTTATTTCATCACGTCCCTGGCCCCCCCGCTGGGCCGCGCACGTGCCGCCGGCCATGATTTGCACCCCCCCCTCTCTTGGACACCCCCCTCTTGGCCGCCCCCGACAGGAGCAGGGCGGGCGGGAGGTGAGGCGGGGGGGGGCGGGCGTTTGGAGGCGTCGCCCGACCTCGCGCGTTTCGCGCCACGCGATGCGCGACGCAGGGCCAAGAGCCTTCGTACCTGAGCACCGTTGCACCGATCCCTGTCCCCACTGGCGTGGCCCGGAGCCCGCTGGCCGAGGTGCCCCCCCCCCCCGGGATGGGGATGTAGGCTGCTCTATTCGGGCCTCGAGGGGGGCCCAAACCCAGCTAGGTGGGGGCGATGGTCGGGGGGCATAAAGTTAAGTCGGGCCTGTCACCCTACAGGGGGATTTTCGACGATAAATCAAAAATACCCCAACAAAATAATCCAAACATAGTCCAAAAATAGTCTGGGGACTGTTGTGTTGGGCATTTTTCTGCCATTTTGGATCAGGGTTGGGGTATTCCTTATTTTTCGTAGAAAATCCCCCTGAACGGGGACAGGCCCGACCCAAGCACAAAGGTGGGGTTGGAAGGAAAATCGCTCCGAACCTCTACATTTGCTTGCAGCGTCGGGTTTGAGGGGATGGGGAAACAGGTGCCGGTGCTGCTGCGCTTTCCCCGTCGCCACGGCCCGAGTTGCCTCGAAGTCCTGGTCAGAGCGCACCTCACCCGGGAGAAGGCCGTGGAGCAGCGGTATCGGTATCCTTCGAAGAAGGAAAAAGACATAGCCACAAATTTGTGCTATGATGCTCCAACCTACTTTAGCCGTGATCACCAGAAAGAATTTCGAGCGCCAGAACAAGTACCGAAACTCAAGGGTTTTCACGTGTCGGGCCCTGGGAGGGACTCGCCCGACACTGTTTCGACACTCTTTCGACACCCTTTTGACACTTGTTTCGGGTGCTCGGAATTATTACTGGGATGCGGCCCCAAGTGGGATGGGAACAACATAATTACAGTGCCGTTTTTAATACATGCTCCGCGTGCGGACCATGCAATCACCATGTAGTATTAAACACATGGATGAATTCATGCATAATGTTTTCATACATTAATCATGTATTACACAATCCTAGTTTAAAAACACCCTATGTATTAAGCACTGCCCTGTAAAACTTGTGGCGTTTTCTCTACTTCTAATATTTCTGGTTCCCCAGATCTTTTGCCAGGGCCGACGGCCGCCCTCCCAGGAGGAGGCCTCGGCCTGGGCCACGCGGCCGGGGCGTCCGACGAGGCGATCGACGAGGAGGAGCTCGAGGCGATCCTGGACGGAGCGAGGATCCAGGGCGTGGAGCCAGCCCTTGCCCTTCCACCCCACCCCGCCACAGGAGGAGGAGGAGAAGGAGGAGGAGGAGGAGGAGGAGGAGGAGGAGGAGGAGGGGGAGGAGGAGGAGCGAGGGAGGAGGATCGGGGGGATGAGGGGGAGGAGCGTAAAGAGGAGGGAGGGGAGGGTGGTGGGGAAAGGGAGAGGGAGGAGAGAGGAGGAAGAGTAGGAGGAAGAGGAGCAGAGCAATGAGGGAGAGGAGGAGGAGGAGGAGGGGGAGGAGGGGGTATGAGGAGGGGGAGGAGGTGGGGAGGAGAGGAGGAGGAGGGGAGGAGGAGGAGGAGAGAGGAGGAGGAGGAGGAAGAAGAGGAGGAGGAGGAGGAGGAGGAGGAGGAGGAGGGAGAGGAGGAGCAGGAGGAGCAGCAGGAGGAGGAGGAGACCCTTTACCATTTGTCAAGCAAGCCCACTAAGGAATGTTCTGAGAACCTTTTTGTGGTCTGCGCGAGATGTTCTTAAGACATGTCTGGCCGAGATTGTCTTGTTTTATCACATCGGATCGATGATATAAGAACATTGTTCTTGTTATCATAACGCTTCTGGGTTATAAGAACAGCTCGTGGTAGGCCTATAGGAATGCCGGGACACTTGGTCCCTGCTCAACTTTGCCATTCATTGGCGCATCGTGTTCATGGTGACTGGAGTCTGGTCGAGCCCTCCTCCCCGCAGAGCTCACGTTGCAACAACCTGCAACATCACGGAAACTCGCCGCCAGATTCTGGTATCTTCTTGCGTCATGTTGCGAGCCAGGTCGATGTGCGAGGGTCTTGAGGCCCGAGACCAAGCAAAAAACTGCCATTTTGAAACACACAACGCCCTGATCTGAGGGTCCCCCCCTCAGATCCTGGCGTTGCAATTTTTTCACAACGGGCGTTTTCGCCGATCGATCGGGCTGGTCGTGATTTTTTGTGATGTGTCACTTCTGTTCGCAACGTCGGATCTCAGGCCCCCCCCCTCCTTTCGGCGACACGCGAGAGTGACCCTTTCGCCGGAGTGACCTTGGGTGTGGCCAAGCCGTGCACAAAAGGTCGCTCTTGCCTAGGGTTAAGTCGGGCCTGTCCCTCTGCAGGAAGAAGATTCAAGCATAGTTTTAAACAGTCTGGGGACTACTTGTTGACTATGTCTAATTTTCTGTCGCGCAGAATCCGGCTGTAGGAGGACATGCCCGACCTGAGCCTAGGGTCACTCTGGCGTGCAGTCGATCCGCATCTTCACCGCCTGGAAAGGGGGGGAGGAGGAGGAGGAGGAGGAGGAGGAGGAGGAGGGGAGAGGAGGAGGAGGAGGAGGAGAGGAGGAGGAGGGAGGGAGGGTGGGAGGAGGAGAGGGGAGGGGGCGGAGGGAACCGCAGTCCCAGGGCGCACGCCGGCCTTCCCCGCTCCAACCCCCCCCGCTCCCCCGCGAGGATCCAGAGCGGCGGGCTCTCCGCGCTGCCCTGGCTGCACCAGCTCTGACACAGGGCGGGGCGACTTCGGGGAGAAAACACGGCCGGCCCCCACCGCTCGAGGAGGGTGAAGGGAGGAGGGAGGAGGAGGAGGAGGAGGAGGAGGAGGAGGAGGAGGAGGAGGAGGAGGAGGAGGAGGAGGAGGGAGAGGAGGAGGAGAAAAGTGAGGAGAGGAGAGGAGAGGAGGAGGAGGAGGAGGAGGGAGGAGGAGGAGGAGGAGAGGGCAGGAGCAGAGGAGGAGGAGGAGGAGGAGAAGAAAGTGGAGGAGGAGGAGGAGGAGGAGGCGGAGGAGGAGGGAGGGTGGAGGTTGGTAGGAGATTTGAGGATGATGATGGTGATGATGAGTGAGGAGGAGGAGGAGTGAGAGGACGAGGAGGAGGAGAGGAGGACGTGGAGCAGGAAGCTGACGAGGAGGAGGAAGAGGAGGAGGAGGAGGGAGGGGGCTTGGGACCCGCAGCCGACACGCCTGGTCCCCGTGGATGCCAGACCCAAGACGGGTCTGGTGCGGGGCCAAGGATTCTTGGAGGGAGGCAGCGGAGAGATGAGGAGGAAGAGGAGAGCGAGGAGGAGGAGGAGGAGGAGGAGGAGGAGGAGGAGGAGGAGGAGGAGGAGGAGGAGGAGGAGGAGGGAGGAGGAGGAGGGGAGGGGGGGGAGGAGGAGGAGGGAGGAGGAAGAGGAGGAGGAGGAGGAGGAGGAGGAGGAGGAGGAGGAGGAGGAGGACGGAGGGGGGGGGAAGTGAGGGGAGGAGGGCGAAGGAAAGGAGAATGAGGCGAGGGCGGAAAGGGAGGGGTGGAAATAAGAAGATGGGAGGGGAGAGAGGTAAGTTGAGTAGTGTTTGGGAGGAGGCCAGAGGAGGGGGGAAGGCAGAAGGAGTGAAGGCAGGAGGATAGGGGAGAGCGAGAAGGGGATGGTCAGGGAAAGGGTGGAGGGGAGGGGAAGGAGACCGGAGCGAGGGCGTGTTGTTGCGTGGGTCAAGCATCTGCAGTTTCTGACAAGCTCGGCGTCGCACATGAAACCCAGCAATAACGATTTGTTGCGCTGGCGTCTGGCTAGTTCGCAGCAGCCGCCACTGTCAAGGACACGCAGGGCCCCGAACCGCATTCCGAAGAGCAGTGGGGCCCAGGGCACCAGTTTCGTGGTTTGGTTCAAGAAAGCTCGAGCCTAAGAAAGAAAAGGACTGGAAATAACAGTTTTCTTATCAAGTGGTCTGGGATTGAAAATCTACAGACACCTCGGCTCTCAAGCAACAGGTCATGTTATATGCGAAGTCTTTCTCGTCGGCGCTGCCCCTCAGCAGTTTCCCTCAGACCACCAGGCGCAATGCTGGAACCGAACGTTTCGCCTGAGATATCCTCGCGAATCATGGCTTTGGAACTAAGACGTTTCTAGCAAGAACCGCATGCCCCAGATAAAACAGCATTCCCCCCTAAAACCTGAGTCTTGATTATCTCCTGCCAGTACAGTTTTGATCGTGGGTGGGGAGGGGCGAGACCGAATTTCCTTATCACCGGGGGAAATACAATTCGTAGATTTGATCTTGTTACCGCAACAACATCATCATCTTCAGCATCATCTGCATTAGCAGTACTACTACTACGATTCATGCGACTTCTGCTACTACTACTCCTACATTTACTCTCACTCTTACTCTTACTCTTACTCTTACTGTTACTACTAGTACTACTAGTACTACTACTACTACTACTACTACTACTACTACTACTACTACTACTACTACTACTACTACTAGTACTACTTCTACTACTACTACTACTACTACTACTACTCCTACTACTACTACTACTACTACTATCTACTACTACTACTATTACTAGTAGTAGTAGTAGTAGTACTACTACTACTACTACTACTACTACTACTACTTCTACTTTTCTTACTACGGCTACTACTGCTATTTCTACTACGAGTGCTGCTGCTACTACTACTACTACTACCACTATTACGACCACGCGTGCTACTAGTACTACTACATTATCATTGTTACCATCATCATCAGCCTCTACGACTACGACTACTACCTTCCCTCGACCCCCCCACGGGCGAACTTTTTTTATCGCCGGGGTGTACGATTGCCGGACAATGCCCCAGATGACCCCCCACGCACATTAGGAGTTGAAATGTTTTCTGAACTGAAAGGTTCTTCATACGGAACTTGAAAAGGTTTGCATGTTTTTAAAAAAAATCCCTCCCTCCCCTCGTCCTCCCTCCCTCCTCCCTCCTCTTTCCCCCCAGCCCAACAACAACCGCTACAGCTACTATCACTACTACTACTATTATGATCACCACCACGACTACTACGAATACTACTACTACTACTACTACTACTACTACTACTACTACTACTACTACCGCTACTACTACTACTACTACTACTACTACTACTTCTACTACTTCTACTACTTCTACTACTACTACTACTACTACTACTACTACTACTACTACTACTACTATTACTACTACTACTACTACTACCACTACGACGACTACTACTACTACTACTACTACTACTACTGCGATGTCTGCTCCTCCCATCGCCCGCCCCTCTCCCTCATTCATCACGATCAAAATCCTCGTCACTCTCCTCATCGTCATTTATGCTGCGACTTGCCATGGAACTTTCATGATCTCCCCTGGACCCCGAACTTTAGTATCCTCACCCGGTGAAGTTCAGGGGCATAGATTTGTCAATGTATAGCTGCTGAGTACAGAAACCTTGGATCTGCATGACTACCCACAGACCCGATGCGCTGATGATTAATAGTTTGAAAATACTACGGAGCGATGTCTGCTCCTCCCATCGCCCGCCCCTCTCCCTCATTCATCACGATCAAAATCCTCGTCACTCTCCTCATCGTCATTTATGCTGCGACTTGCCATGGAACTTTCATGATCTCCCCTGGACCCCGAACTTTAGTATCCTCACCCGGTGAAGTTCAGGGGCATAGATTTGTCAATGTATAGCTGCTGAGTACAGAAACCTTGGATCTGCATGACTACCCACAGACCCGATGCGCTGATGATTAATAGTTTGAAAATACTACGGAGCATGCAATGCGTTACACAGTTGCTGAATATCTTCATGATATTTGGAATAAAACACAGCAACCTACATTGCCTTGCAAGGAAAAGATTCGTGATTGCGTAGACGATCGACCATTCCATGTTTGGGAACCTTCAAGTCTTACGGACCGTCACGCAGAGTTTTGCAAAGTGTGTTACCAACTGAATGACAACGAACGGCATTAAACCGCAATCACACACAACGGCACACAACGTTGTGGCAATTACCGAATATTCTGGTTGCAGGAGTTGCTTACGTAATCGGTAGGTCAATGTTTGAGACAAGCAAAACTATGAAGGCACCCTGATCAGAGCCAGTATGTTCATCCCCAACGATCCTGTGGTTTGGAGTCCCTGTTTTGAAGAGACAGCGCCCCGCGCCTCCCACGTCCGCCTCTCCTATCTCTCCGCCTCCTCCCCGCTCCTACATCTTCACCATCAGCCGAAGCATTACCACTATGTCCATCGACTTCGCCATCACCACCATCATCAGCATCATTACCATCACCAGCATCATCACCACCATCGTCATCATTGTCATCATTGTCAGCATCCGCATCATCATCAGCATCATCATCAGCATCATCAACATCATCGTCGTGATCGTCATCACGGTCATCGTCAGCATCAGCATCATCAGCATATGCAACGTCGCCATCAGTACCATCATCATCATCAGCATATTCAACATCTTATTCAGCATTACCATCACCATCATCATCATCGTCATCACCGGTATCGTCATCATCATTATCAACAAAATCAGCGTCGCCATGCGTATCGTCAATATCATCTTCAGCAGCACCATCATCATTACCACAAACAGCATCATCTTCTTCAGCAGCACTGTCACCATTACCATAATCATCAACATCATCGTCAGCATCGTCATCATCATAATCATCATCAACATCCTCATCCGCGTCGTCATCCTCTGCGTCAGCAGCATCAGCATCATCGTCATCATCATCATCATAATCGTCATCGTTTGCATCAGCATCACCATCATCATCATCAGCATCATTACCATCATCACCATCAGCATGAACATCCTCAGCACCAGCATCAGCATCAGCAGCAGTATCATAGTCACCATGGTCGCTTGAATCATCACCATCATCATCACCCAGTTCTGCAGCACCTCGCACCCAAGTGCGAGAAGGAGAGGGAGGAGGTGTAGGAGGAGGAGGAGGAGGAGGAGGAGGAGGCAGAAGACGAGGAGGCGGAGGAGGAGGAGGTTGAAGACGACGAGGAGAAGGAGGATGGGTAGGATGAGGACGAGGAGGAAGCGGGGGCGGAGGCGGGCGGTGGAGGAAGAGGAGTAGGGAGAGGAGGAGGAGGAGGAGGAGGAGGAGGAGGAGGAGGAGGAGGAGGAGAACGAGGTGTAGGAGGAGGAGGAGGAGGCAGCGGAGGAGGGAGGAGGTGGAGCAGGGGAGGAGGCGGAGGCTGCTTAGTAGGGGAGGAGGAGGAGGAGGAGGAGAAGAAAACGGAGGAGGAGGAGGAGGAGAAGAAGGATGAGAGGGATGAGGATGAGGAGGAGGACGAGGAGGAGGAGACATAGGAGGCGGAGGAATACGAGGCAGAGGAAGCGAAGGATGCGGAGGAGGCAGAGGCGGAGGACGAGGCGGAAGAAGCGGAGAAGGAGGAACAGGCGGAGGGGAAGGAGGAGGCGGATGAGGAGCAGGCGGAGGAGGAGCAGGCGGAGGAGGCGGAGGAGGCGACGGAGGAGGAGGAGGAGGCGGACGGGGTGGACCGGGGGGAGGAGGAGGAGGAGGAGGAGGAGGAGGAGGAGGAGGAGGAGGAGGAGGAGGAGGAGGCGGGCGGTGGAGGCGGAGGAGGATGCTGAGGAGTAGGATGACGAAATGGAGGCGGATGGCGATGTTGCTGTTGCTGTTGCTGATGATGATGATGCTGATGATGATGATGCTG